TGCTATGTATAAAAACACAATGTAAAACCACCCAGTAATGCATCACATGCAGAGAAAAACATTAGCACCTTACGCAGCTTATAGAAGTTTTATATTTTCAACCCTAAGACTCGAAACTGTGCCATTGTTCCATAACATCTAACTATATGTACCTGAGCGTCTCCGCTGAGCCTCAGTGGTGTACGGTTGATGGGATTCCCCTGTATCACTGTTGCCCTTGAGCATCTGACGACCACAGCTAATAATCACAGACATAACCAAATGCAATCCATCATATATCTTAACGGCAATCGCTGATAGACTGGATAAAAGATGACAGTGTGGCGTGTCTCTTCAGTTCTGCAGGTCTCACCTGGTGCAGAGAGGTAAGGCGGAGCTACGGAAATCAGGGGAGTTTACTGTGTAGCCCAAGGGTTTATGCAGGTTCAGATTTACACTAGGCTTCGTCAAGAAGTCAGCCGTGTCTGGGAACTCCACAGGCAATCGAGGAACAAGGGATGATGAAGAACCTGTGCCTACAGCGGGAGGACTGTGGCTTGGAGAGTTGACGGGGCTCAGGCTCGGTGATGTGCCTAGAGAGAATAAAGGGAGTGCAGGAAAAGACAAAAACAGAGTCAAACATGAGTAATAAACAGATGTGCAGTGAGTCTAGTGAGGAGCTTTATATTTAAGTCTCACCTGCTCTCCTGGGCCCCGCATGGTATGTGAGGGTGACCGAGGAAGATCTCTGCTTGGGAATGGTGAGCAGGTTTGCATTAGGCCCATTGGACAAACCTGAGCTGCAGGACAAAAACACATATATTAAACACGGGATTTATCAAGAAAATAGAAAAAGGGTTTCTTTTTATCAGATGTTATGCATTATCCAGACAAAGAACAACAGTTCAAGGCTACTCTGGCAAGCCAATCACGTTACACTACAGAAACAAAGACAAAAAAAAAGGTGCCAACATAGCCAATCCTCTCCTGCCATCCAGTGGAGACACACGGTAACAGGCACTGCACCCCACTGTCACTATGGTAATTCAAACCAATTTTGAAATGAATTTATTTAAAGCTTCTAACCCATTTTTAACACTGAAGTGTTATGCTATAATTAATAAGTCCATTTCTTGATTGTGCATCAAAGAATAGATTTGCCAGTCCTTGGTTCATCGAGGTAGCCTTAGTTAAAGAAGAGACAACTGTACTAAAAGTACAGTGATTTATTTACATTTGGGTAAAAGTATCACTGCACTTACTTTTCATGATAACTTTCATTATGACTTTCTGGCAATAAAAGGAACACGTTAGATCCTGCAAGAAAAGCAATTTTATCTGCTCCAAAACAGGAGAGATTCAAGTAAGAGATAAATAACGTGCGCTAGCAGCTCTACAGATACTCTTGTGTTTCTGCGAAGTGGTAAGGTAAACGGCTGAGTTTGTGATGAGTACCTGATCAAGTTGAGGTCAGGGTGGGGTCTCTTGCCATTGTTACGTTCCCACCGTAAAGAGGCGCAGTCAAGAGAAGGGAGTGTGGAGGATGCAGATGAGGTGGAGCTACGCCTTGGCTGAGGGGTGGGGAGGCTGTTTCTGCTGTTCAAACCCTGATTGGTGAAGAAAGATCCAGTGATAAATATATGTTTTATACATTAACATCATAAGTTAACTTGGCTGACTATTTGAAACTAGTAATCAGTTTTATGGCTTCAGAACTATTTCCCATCACAAACCAGTGCTGGTTAAAACTATTAATAACTGATAAGGGACTAGTTTTGTGCAGTAGTAACACTTGTTCCCACCTTAATAGGTTTCCTGTCACTCCTCTCTACAGAGTCCTCCACCTCATCGCAGGAGTAGAAACCTGGAAAGGGGGTAAAAGGGTTGACCCTGGGGCGGCATGAGCCTGAAAACGTCCCCATGAGGCTGGAGATGCTGCGCAGAACTGAGATAGTGTGTGGAGGCAGCGACGAGTCCATGAGCAGGTCTGACACCAGATTCCTGGCCTCGTTGATGACTGAAAGGTCCACACCGTTGCCGCTCACTGCACCCTGTTGTAAATGCACATACACTGCACAGATTAGGGAGCAGAGCTGCAAAGGCAGACATAAAATGACAGTTAAAAGTTTATGGTTTGTGGTGTCTAGTAGACTCCTGCTGGAGTGTGAGTACTGGTTTATGGCAGATAGGTGGCCAGGAATAGTATGTGGTTTATAATCGTGTTCTTTATTTCTTCACGCTCTCTTTTATGAATTCCACTTTCCCATAAATTACACATAAACTGTGCAAAAACATGAAGAAGGCATTTTAAATGATTCTGAATCCGGTCCTTGACGATTTTGGTTTCCACTGACTGTTATGTCTTTGTGTAAATTGCACAATGTACATCAACTTTATATACAGTCACGTGATAGATAAAGATAACGTTTTCACAGGACTCTATTCATCACTGTAAAAAACTAACAACCCATGACTCAGCCACTCGTAGGTCTACTTTTAACAGCAATAACTTGAAGTTATCATTTTCTTTATGACTTTATCCATCTCTTACATCATTGTTTTTTTTACCCACTTCCTTTACAGCATTGCTTCACTTCAATGAATTTTGGGCATTTGTGCACCCACAGCTCCTTCAAAGAGCTGTGGGTGCACCGTTTCAACCAGGTTGATTTTGGACACCTTGATGCTTTTCTCTTCAGCCATTCTGCTGTTTCTCTGTTTGGGATTATTGTTCTGCTGTTTGGCCTATTTTAGGCTGAGCTTTAGCTCTCAGTTAAATGGTCTCACATTCACTGATAATTCATTGTCAACCCAATAACTGCAAGGAGCCATAATAACGTGGCTGCTAAATCATCAACCCTCCACCACCATGCTTGACAGTTGCTTGTGTAGTGTTTGTGTTGATGTGTTTGTGTTTGGTTTTCCCCAGATGTGGTGAAATGTATTACAGCCAAACATCTCTACCTCAGTCTCATCTGTGGTTTGTTCGGATGCAGTTTTGCAAACCTAAGCAATTTTCTTCTTAGAGAGAAGATGCTTTGTTCTTGCAACCCTTCCAACGAAGCCGTACTTGTTCAGTCTTTTTGAACTTTAGCATTTAACATGCTAACTGTGGCCTGTTAAGTCTGAGATGTAGCTACTGGGTTTTTTGCAGTTTCTTCAAGCATTTCACGCTCTGACCTTGGGTTGAATTTCCTGGGATGTCCACTCCTGGAAATCTTGTGGCATTTTGTAACACACACTTGAATGCTCCAGACTAGAAACTAACTTCTTCTAGAAACTTCTGCGTTTCTGGTGCCGCTCACACTTGCGTTTACATTTAATCAAGTACATTTGATAAGCAGCACCTGACTGCTACTCACCCTCTTAGTTCCTATGGATGGACTAAGGGTGTACTTAGTTTTTCACAGAACTGCAGATCTGATGTGTAATTTAAGTGTTCCCTAATTGTTTCTAAACACTATGTATTGTTTCCAACTTCTTCTTCCACATGATTTCTATTTTATTGTCTCCTTATCCCTCTTCTCTTCCTCTAGCCTTTTGCACAGCAAGATAATAAAAATAGTGTACGTGGATGAAAACACACTGTCTAGACCAGAAATTTGGATTATTGAAGTGACATGTTATTGTCTAAAGTGAAATCCCCAAAATTGTGAGCGCAATCTGTTACAGGGTTTTATCCCTTCTTTTTTTTAGAGCAGATTTCATATGAAATGCTGTTGTTTGTGAGACACAAGAGCAAAACCTGACGAAAAGGTTGCTGTATGAACAAAATGCGTGTTTAAACTTAATTTAACTTAACTCTCTGTGGGTGGACTACAGACTGACTATCTAAAAGAAACTATATAGGCAGTGTGTTTCCTGAATTACCCACAACCTTAAACCCTCATAAACATGCGAGCTAAACAAAGCACAGCACTGACCTGATACTGTGGTTTGTACCAGTGTTTCAGATCCCAGTCCCATAAGATCATCTGAAAAGAAGAAACAAAGGAAACGTCAGTCAAATGTCATCTTTGTATGTTGTGTGTTTATTTATAAAAGAGAATATGAAATGTATCTACACAGATGGAGCTCGGGCTCTGACCTATGCTCCACTTTGAGCACAATGCTTTATGACTTTATAGAGCAGGCGCCGGTGGGCCACAAACAGACAGCTTCTGCTCGTCTGTTCTTCATGTTATCTAAACATTAAACACAACAGTGTAGTCGCAGATTACATTAGGGATTCCCCGTGCCACAAAATACAAATTTTACTACAGGTATGCTAATGCAGTCTGCCTGAGTGACGGCAGACAGAGGCCTCTCACTGAAAGCAAAAGCAGAAAAGCAAACCACGAAAACCACCAAGGTGCGTCTACAATAGAGCTATGAGATCTTATCAAGCCTCAACTACGTCAATTAGAAGCGCTATCTGTTGGTAACTACAAAGGAGCTCTCACATATTACAGAGCTGCACAGTCAAATTGCTGTGCAAGTTGTTTAACAGTATGTTTCAGAAATAACCTAAACCTTTATGACAGCGTATACAAATGTAGCAATTTGTAAGTATTTGAATTTAGTTATCCTCTTGCACATTTTCTGTTTTCCTAACATTTCAGCCATGCACTTTATAAAATATATGCATATGCATTTCTGGATAGCATAACAAATCACAACGTGAAGCTTACGAACTGGATAAATGTGTGCCAAAAAGTGAACTTTCATGTGTAAAAATCCAGACATTAAACATTTCTTTTGCAGCACCAGCATGCAGTCTCACCCCGCTCCACAAGAGGGAGAACCGCAGGGGAGTATGCCTCACACAGAAGCAGCACAAGTCTCATCTGATCATGTAAACACACATGCAGCCATGATACCATCAGACATAATTAGGTCACAATCAGCAAAATCAAAAGCAAATTTTTATCATTCTGAAATATTACTGTTACACGGGACTGAGCAGAGGAACACTGAAAAGCAAAAAGTTTGCGTTTTGGCACTTAAATGCCAAAACTAGCTAATTTACACTATATTTTTTACCAGCTGCGGCATCATTTGTTGATTATGTCCATACAGTAATCTATTACTAAGCTTGATAAATAGATCAGTAGATCCATGCCATCTCCTCTAATCACTGACTGTTTCACTGATCAAAGTGGGATGATGGGTGTTTGTCATCAGCATCTGTACAGTGCTGCCAAACATTTAATATGGCAAATAAGCCCTGCCATGGCAACCCGACATAGAGGCCAGCAAACAATGCTCCATACACCATGGCAACGAGATGGCGGGAGACAGCCTGAGGACAGAGTTGTTGGCCTTCTGCTTGTTTACAGAGAGAAATAGAAGGGCCGAAACAGAGAGGGAGATGGGTAAAAGCTGAAGGAGCGGATGCCATTAAAGCCGGGATGGAGAGTAAAGGGCTGAGACCTACAGAGAGAGAAACAAAAAAAAAAACATGTGTACAAAAGCTGCCAAAACCTCACAGTTACACTAGTCTCTTCACTTCTCTCCTTCTCCTCTGCCTTACCTGAGCGCATAACGCACAAGAGCACGGGCTCCTCCGTGATTCTCGCTAAGCTCAGAAACAGGAATAGCTGGATGAATCACTGCTAGCGCCACAACCGGTAAAGCTTGTGTCAAGAGGCACGTGCTCCTTGTGCACGTGACGCGATAAAAATCTTTCAATGAGCACGAGATATTGTCTCCAGCGACGTCACGAAATCATAGCATGGGGAAAGAAGCACAATTCAGCACACGTAGACACCTTTACGCAGGCAGCTGCACAGGCACAGCAAAACACAAGTGAAATGCCATTCACCTCTTTCACCATCGTGCAAGCATTGCAGATATACTCGTCAAAAGTATTGTGCAGCATGGATATAACACGTACATGTTTATCCTTATGAAACAGTAATACACCGATAATAAACATAGTTAATATAGGTAATATGCAACTTTCCCTTCTAATTTTAAGTACATTTTGATACAACTTATACTTAAACGTGCTATGACAGTTTTTCACATTGTGGTAGAGTTTTGTTTTGTTTTTACTCAAACTAATTAAAAACTAGATTTGAATCAAACTAAACTAAACATGCTTGCAGCTTAATTTGACTTTTTCTGACATGATGCCGATTATGTCAGACCACCTGCTTATCTGATTAATTTAATTAATCAACACATTTTTTACGTAGGAGCAGTGACACATTAACAACTGAACATATCGCCTATATGAGGATTATTTTATTTCCAGGACGGAAATTATCAGACGCACGCATTTTTAACAGTCAACTACGGGCAATGCAGGACATATGACGTCCACTTGCTCGCTGTGAATTATCCGGATAATCTTGCATTGTTCTCACATGGAGTTTGTACTAGGGAGCTGCCAACTGACGTCTCCAGAGTTTTTGAGCTTCTCTGCACGTTTGAAGATGGCTAGAAAGCGAGCTGTACAGATAAGAACACACATCAAAACACACTGGCAAATACTGATAAACATGGCATAACATGAAATGTGAAAATAACTCCTCTCACAGGTCATAAATATTTCCTAACAGGAGTCAATAAAACTGTGCGGGCCATTAGGCCTCCGGCTGGTTACACCTGTGTGTCATATTAGCTGGGCTGTGTGGCGCGAGAGGTGCTAGAACTGATAAAAACATGCTAATAAGAGTGCGTGGGGAGGGCAGAGAAACGGTATCAATGGCAGCCAGACAGGAAGGGCATTTGCATGTAGAGGAGTGGGGCACTGCTGACGTCAGTGTGCAGCGACACACACAGCGTCAGCAGCCCTCTGCACATGCACTTGCTGATAATGAGGGCTAAGCTCTGGCTGTCAAGACCTGCAGAGGGGGACAAGATGATACAGCCTGATTGTTTTTAAGGCTATATTCAGGAAAAAAGTGCAATAGGGGTGGGGGGTGGAGGCACATCCTGAACTGACAGAAGTGTGCCTGTAGCTTAGTGTAAGAGCTCAGGCAGGCTAAGGAAGAAGCAGACTGGGATTAAAAATTGTCTCTGAACTTCTGACCTTGACAGACTTGCTACAAGGCTTTATCCTACATTCAACCGCAGATAAACTGGAAACCTGTGTGATAAAATATTTTGCTTTACTAAAATTCTTCAAATTTAGCATGCATTGCATCACAAGAACGGATTTTCTAATTGCACTTTGTAAAAACTCAGCTGGACAGCCCACAGGGCCAAAGGCTTTTGCTGGTCTCAACAGCAGCCCCATAGATCAGCAAGTCCAATGGGAAAAATCAGGGGCCTCCAGATGGCCAGGCCGCCTATGGCTGTCACCAGTGTTGTCAGGGCGACCTGGCAGGGCCATGGAAAATTCTTTGACTGTGGAAAGGAGCTCGTTCAAAATGTCATTCCTCTCTTTCACACTCATCTACTACTTCACTGGACCTGGAATTGTTCAGCGCGTGCCTTGCGCAAGCAAACATCTGCAAGTGTCCTTTGGAGTATTTTTAAATACTATAAAACCAGTTTCTTGGTATTTGTATATATCAGACAAACTGTATTCTACTACAAAGAACAAAAGTAGAGTTTCCACTTTGTGGTTGCTGCATCCACATATCTCAGACTCATATTTTATATGCAGAAAAGACTTTAAAAGAATTAAATTGGTAAACAGACGCTAAAGATTAGCGTCACCAATTCAGTGTCTGACCAAAGATGAACTATGGTCAAAATTCCCTCTTGTGTTCGTGAGCTGCAGCTTTAAATAATGGCGAGTGTGTTTTTGCAGCAGATTGCTATGAAGGCAAGTGAATTTGACCCTTGACCTTGTGCATATCAAATGTCATCACTTCTTGAGCTATGGCTTTTGTTAATTCACAGCGACCTTGATCTTTGACCAACTGATTCCAATCAGACTGAACTTGAATCCAAGTAAACCTCTGTGCAAAATTTGAAAAATGCTCTCTAGACATTTGAGAGAAACACACAGAAGACAGCAGCTGTTAATTCAATGTCTCACTTCACCTCACCATCATTATCTCTATGCATTTTCCACAATAAAAACATCTAACATCTACTATCGTCTGATCCTCAAGAGTGTACTTGCACTTTTTTATCTGGAGTTTAACAAACTACACCACAAGAAAGCATTTGAATACAATATTCTAAAATGCAAAAAGAAATTGAAAGTGTTTTTTTTTATTTCTCTATCAGGTTTCCCCTTGATATGGCAAAATTTAAATTGGCAGACTTTCAAAGAGAGAGATTTCTGATTTCCTCCGTATCATCTGACGTATCATGTGATGTGTTCATAGAGCATCTTTGAAAACAACACTCCTGTTAGCTAAGAACAGGAAACTGAGGCAAGAGTTTGCATGGCCTTGTCGAAATTGGACAAGAGAAGATTGGGGGGAGGAAACATTGCCTGGTCTGATGAGTCTCGATTTCTGCTGATAACATCGTGAGGGCATGGATCCATCCTACCATCTATCTGTGGTGTAATGGTGTGGATATTTTCTTGGCACACTTGGCTCAGTACCACTTGAGTACCATTTAAAAACCAGAGCCTACATGAGTACGATTGCTGACCATTGTCTATCCTTTTATGTCCACAATCTACCCATCTTCTGATGGTTACTTCCAGCAGGATAATCAACCGTATCATAAAGCTCATCAGCCTGGTTTCTTGAACATTTAACAATGACTTCACTGTGGCCGCCACAGTCACCAGATCTCAATCCAATACAGCATACAGGATGTGGTGAAACTGGAGAGTCCCATCAAGGATGTGCAACCAACAAATCTGCAACAACTGTGTGATGCTATCACTTCAATACGGATCAAAATCCACGAGGAATGTTTCCATGATGAATTCCGGCAAAAAGGGTCCAACCCAGTTTTAGTACCATGCAACTAATGGCCATGTGGTAACCAGTGAGTTTTTATGAATTTGTTTTTGCTCTTCCCAATTACATCACCATATGGTTGGTTACATTTACTGCAGACTCTACTTCCCACCCTATTGGGAACTGTACACTGCAAATCTAACTGTGTGATTACACCTTTTAAACTACTGGGAACTGTAAAGGCAATCCACTGGTCCATCCTTAATGTAACATCCATCTTATGAGGTTAAGGCTTTAACAATCTCTAATGAAGATAAGCCTAAACAGTTGGTCTTTAGCACTAACACTATAAGAACTGGTTGTGTAAACTACAACAACTGGTACATGCTACATGATACGATAAGATAAGCCCCATTAAATAATTATCCACAATATTTTAGGAGGCTAACAAAGGAGCAGCCCGGAACTAATGGCAAGTACACAAATAACCTCCTAAAAAGTGTCGTAAATAGAAGAATGAGGAGGGCAGATGAGGATAATTGTTATTGTAGCTATTTCTCTCTATTTAGAGTCATTACTGAAAGCTGATCTAAAAAAGATCATTTATAAGTCCAATAATATTTCTTTGTCTCACACTATTATGAGAGTAGGTCCTTTCACATTTTTCTCATGCTGCATAATGTTTTCTTTGATTATTTCTTCATTTTTATAGTCATATAGTTTAAGAAAATCCTAAAGGGGACACTTACATGAGTAAATCATAGCATGAGATAAGTCATGTACAACATAAACATTTACTATAGCTCTTTTCTATTTCCATATGGGTGTTGCTACCATCTTGTGAACTATATACTCCATTCAAACCAGTTCTACAGAAAGCTTTTACACTCGCGTAACCTTTATCACAGAGCAAGATACCGTGAAAAGTTCCAAATCCTCCTTTTTATTTGTCTCCTTCTAGAAAAACATTGTTGTTTGTTCTCCGAGGAGTATAATTCGTTTACTCTAGTTTCCTTGATAAGTTACAGATGCCTTTTCATGGGACCCCACCAGCTCCAGAGTGTACTTAAGTGAACAACAAGCAAGAGCAAGTATCCACAGATGTGCATGCAAAACCATGTTCAGCCATGTTTTGTGCTGGGCTTGTTTATTTTTAATGTATATGTGTAACAACTATTTAGAATATCTTTGTGGAGCTTTTTGCAGTTTGCAGGCCATTTTTCACCTAAAAAGCAGCATTTCCAGATTTCTGTGCCCTATAGATAATAATAGTTTTAATAACAAGCGTAAGTGGTCCGAAATGTGATGTGACCACATGTCCCCATTTGTCAAGATTATGTTACAAATGAGACTAATAAAATTTTGTCCTGCAAAAATCACATGTGGGATGAAGCAGCAGAGCAAGACTTTACTGTATGTTGTGAATTAAATGTGGAATGTGGATTTGTCCTCGGAGATGTAATGGAAAATGAGTTTTTATAAAGTTAAATAAATACAACTAAAACTACATCTAAAAATAGCAGCAAAAATAGGAAAAACAGGAAACCAGAGGAATTTGGACAAGACCAAGTGATTGATCAGCTTCAACACTAATCCAACATCCAAGCATGTCTGGCCTACATCAACAAAGCTTTGTTTAATCAAAGACTAAGGCTAAAGACACTTATGGTCGCTCCTTGCAGCTGCAGACTGATCTTCTCATCTTCTATCATTGAGGCCTAGCATGTGATTTTACTATGGCACTTTGTTTACATGAGTTTGTAGATGTGCGGCACACAGCCTGTGCACACGCAGGCGCTAATTCCACAGGGGAAAATTGTTGCTGCTGTCTGTGTCCCCACAAAAAGCAGATGAGCTGGACAGAGGCTAACAGAGAAAGAGAATGGAAGAGTTATAACTAAGCTCAACTTGACTTTTGGAATGTAGAAGGAAAATTATGCGTGCCAAGTTGGATACTGCTGTCAAGGCGTAGAGACTGGACAAGCCTGAGGCATGTGGAAAGGGTGTTTTATGTCAGATAGTTCAACTCAAAATATTAGATGACTTTTTTTTAACTTTATGTGGCACAATCTGAGGTACTAAACTGACCCATTTACACCCCTGTGTGGTGAAGGAAATGGCTATGAGCCGACACTAAGAAGTTACTTTGTGTTCAACATGGTCGATGCCAAAGAAACTGCTGATCAAATAAAGTTTTAGCAAAAGACACAGAGGCCTTACAAGCAAAAGCATGCAGAACACATTGGAGGAGTCTACAGTAAAAACACGTGGCTGCCTAAGGAAGCAAAGGCAAGAGCAGAAATCACTCAGGCTGCTCTGTTTCTGCAGGTGTGTCCTCAATTCAAGAGAAAGTGGCGGTAGAGGATACTTAAGTGTCCCGGCAGACTTTCCACTTTGTTGATTTACAGTACAACACAGTTGACCTAAGATCACTCTTGGATCTCCCAAGAAAAGATACAGGAAGTCTCTTTGTGTGAGTGTTGCTGCTGCTGCAAGAAGTGTCAGTAAACAGCGAGTACTTCTTATGTCTTTGCTGGCTTTTTGGGGGCTTTTGTTTTTTGTATGTCATCAGTTTTATTTTGAGTAATTGCTCTAAAATAATTTGATCAAAGACCAGAAAGACATTAGAACGCTTCAGCTTTTGTTTGCCTGCCACACAAGGCGGAATAAATAAAACACACTGCACGTAAAATATGGTTAAAGCCAACATATCTACCACATTGTTTGCTAGACTACCATTTTAAAGCCTTGAATATGCCATTTTGCCTATGAGCACCCAGGGTTTTGGGGTAACCATATTTGCAGGAGAGGGTGGAATGAAAAGTTGTCACCGAAAGCTAACTACTTTTCTGCTGGTACAAATAACCACACAGTAAGCCACCTGTGTCACCACCCAAGTTTTACTCAAAGTGGTTATGCACTTAATTGAGCATAACTTTGAAGTGGGCATTATATTCATATGCAGACACCATCTGCATTCACCAGAGATGAGTGTTTTGTCTAGACTATTAGGCTTTCCGCTTTGACAAAGCATATAGTTAGGGCTGGATCAGGTGACCCTGAATCCTCCTTCAGTAATGCTGCTTGGGGCTTCCCACAGTGCACCAAATGTTTCGTGTTCACTCACCTTCTTCGCTCACTATGTGCTTGCACACCACTCTGCATTTAATTATTAGTTATTAATTTCATGCTGTCTTCCATTGTTTTCCTTCCTCACTCCCAACAAGTCATGCTAGATGGCTGCCCCTCCTTCAGCCTGGTTCTGCTAAAGGTTTCTTCCTGTTAAAAGTGAGTTTAATCTTCCCACTGTTGCCAAAGTGCTTGTTTATAGTAGAGATGGACCAATCCGATATTAAGTATCGGTATCGGTCCGATACTGACGTAAATTACTGGATCGGATATCGGAGAGAAATAAAAAATGTAATCCGATCCATTAAATATCAAAAAAGCACCTCACAAAACTTGCAACATGGCATAACTCGGCTCATAACCGTAGCGCGTCGGAGCAGTATGCATCACGTGATAGAGCGGCTGTGGCGTGCGAGATCTGTTGTCTGGTTCAGCATTTGGAGCCTCGCTACCAAACCGGCATTTCATCTCCGAGAAAGTTATCCCAGAGAGAAGTAAAGCAAGTGTGTAAGTAGAGCAGGGCGATATGGCCAAAAATATTTATCACGATATATATTTGAAAATTTGCGATAACGATAAGCATTTTCAGTAGAAATGGGCTGACATATCCTGAGCATAACCATGTATAATATCCACTGAAGTTAAAAAGAGGTGCTTTGCAACATTAAACTGCAGTGTGCAGTACGTATTTTTCGGACCATAAGGTGCACGGGATTATAAGGCACATTAAGCGAAACAAAGCAGTCAGATAAATCAAACTTTATTAAACTCATTCTTCTTGCTTCCTCCACTTCTGTACCATTGATTCATTAATGTTGAATTCTCTGGCAGCTGCTCTATTCCCATGTTGTTGCAGTATATTAATGACTAACCTCGTATTGTGGATGGATTATCTCAGTTGTTCTCCTGACTGAAGTTTGGTCCGTTTACAGCATCCTGCCATGCGATTGCATTTGTCTCTAACCATGAGGAACCTTCACGTTAACTTTTATAAGTGGAAAAGTGTTAGTGTTCGTCCTCCAGCTTCACTGTTTATGTTATGCTAACATAGCTGTGTCGCTAGCGATCACGTAGCACATCATTATATACCAGCTAGCCCAACTTCAGTAACCCTACAAACGTCACTGCTGTTTAGTTTCCTGTCTTCATTTATGTTGGAAGTGATAGCAGAGCTGTACGTTTGATTTTTTTCAGAAATCTCTCAGTCAGAACATGCAATATCATGCTTAGGTAACTAGCGAAACTAGCGAGCTAACTTCCGCTAGCTTCCTGCTAACTTCTAACTCCGTTAAATGTAATAACTTTTGTTTTCATGGATGCCTGGAAGTTAAACTTCATAGTTACACCTGGTAAAGCAGCAATGCTGATCGTTTTATTAAAGATGAAAGAATTTAGACAGTTTTTAACTCTCAGTGATGCTGCAGTGTTCGTTTGACCTGAAGCATACGGAGTTTAGGACCCAGATTACTCCCAGATTTAAGAGCATCTTAGTCCGACAAATACGACAATAACGACGGCCGCTTGCATGTTCTGCAAAAAAATGTGCTTTGTCGTGTATCTGACGGACAAACACCAAACCAGTTCCACATCACTGAAGTTGCACCATTTTTACAAACCAATTCTGGTTCATCTGTTTCACTCAACAATCGGCCATGTGCGTATGAAAACAAAGGCACTGCGCATGCGCGTTTTACTCATATTCTATCGCGATATTTCATTTTCCTATCGTTGCCTAACATTATACCGGTATTACCGTGAACGGTATAATATGGCCCAGCCCTATGTGTAAGTTCATCTCTGAATGTTTGTAAAGCATTCCAGCGTTACGCTTAACAACCGATATATGGAGCGACTGCCTCTTCTCTCTCCCTCCCTCTCCTGCTGCTACTTCAATCGTGAAACTGATCAATGATCAGCTGATCAGCTTTTCTGTCACGAGTCCGTCTCTCATGTTTTTTATCGCCCACTTTGCGCCAGAAAGAGGAAACCAGCGGCTGAACAACAGCAGCACGTTTAAGCTTGATAACTGTTGTTAGAATTTATTTAATATTACTTTCTACACCAGGATCTTTTTCTACGTAGCTGACGGCTGGTAACTGTGCAGGGGCGGATCTAGCAAAGTTTAGCCAGGGGGGCCGATAGGGCATGAACAGGGAAAAGGGGGCACAAAGACATACTTTTCTTTCTTATTCTCATTTAAAATGTCTAGCTTTTAATAAATAATTATCTGAATCTTACACCCAAAGTTTTAATCTGATGTAAAATGTATAGAAGTCCATTACTGTATATAGTAACTATTAAGTCTAATATACCCTAGTAAGCTATAGTACTTTTTCCTTTGGGAAGGTACCATCTGTGCAGTCTGCAATTCTGTTGAAGAAAGATGTTGAATCTATTTAATTATTCTTGAAAAATAATTGATTTCTGTGCATTTTTTTTCACACTGCATCAAATTAAAGTTGATTACGTCAATTAAGCATCATGAGGTGGGGGTGGTTCCCTATTTTTTTTTTTTTTTTTTTTGCTGGGAGTTTTAGAACCGTATTGGTTAGGTTGCTTACTCTTTAAAATACCAGAATAGGAAGGATTGAGTAGGTTTAAGTTTATTAGATTGATCAGTGTTGCTGAACTATGAAATATTTTGGGTGCAGTGTATTTTTTACATACAGGTATAACAAAATAGCTTTAGTGTTTGTTTGATTTTTGAAATTGAATTTTAACTTATACAAAATGCAGCAAGATATTTAAAAAAAAACAGTTTTATTGATTAAAAAACACACTATATCGGATTCATATCGGTATCGGCCGATATCCAAATTTATGGTATCGGTATCGGACATAAAAAAGTGGTATCGTGCCATCTCTAGTTTATAGGGGGTCATCTGATTTCCCTGTATTTTTGTAGAATCTTTACCTCACAATATAAAGTGCCTTGAAGAAACTGTTATTGTGACTGGAGTGGTCACTCAGACCCTGTAAGACCTGCATAAGCATTAGTACAATTTAACAGGTGAGTCACGTAAACATGTTTATTTCTCCTATAAAACTAGTCTTTATGGTTCCATAAGAAATGATTCACCTTTGGACCAGCCTCAAGTGGTCATACAAGGATATTACGTTTAGGGCCCTTCAACAACCCCAGAGACTGCAACTTGTTTTAAATCCTGGCATTTACATTAGCCCAGAATTTTACAAATACCAAATAAAATCAGTAGAAAATTACTAGTGTCACTTTTTTGCACCCAACGTGGTCACATATTGTTTTTCCAATGAAAACTGTACTTCCTGCTTTATAGCATAGTTTGACAATATAAGCATTTCATAGTTGCACAGGAAACAAGCCATTTATCTTCATTTAATGTTTTTGCTTAACTTATTGTAGTCACTTTCAGTTACAGGCTGATTGCTACCACAGCATTGTATTTTATCTTCGCTTGGCTGCACAGGCCTCCAAAACATACTTTAAGCATCAACTCACACAAGCGACAATACTGATTGATAGGACTGTCAACACCTTCTAACTCAGCTGTTAAAAAGCAAAGCACTGACAAATGTAAAAGTGAAAGAAGTTCCATAACGAAACGTTTTAGTTGGGACATACTGCAAGATGGTTATGAATCCAGCTATTTAAAAGGATCTGTGAACTCATCCTGGATCGACCTGGTTTCTGTCAACAACACGATCTTATTGGCTATGAACTTCGAGATGAACATCCACAGAAGGAATCTATCAGCAGCAGATTTTGAAAAAACAAAACAAAAAAAACCCCCACTTTTCTGCATAAAATCAATTCACACGGTGGGGATGTAGACATAAAAAGTACACACAAGTACTTCACAAGGTGTGTAGTGTCCAAGGCTATGTGTAAAAGTGTATAAGCAATAAGACAGGAGCTGAAAACAGAATTAACTAGTGGCTAAAGTTTGTTAGTTAACAATTTTTTTGAGTCACAACCATCTCTAGTATTTAGAGATAAAGGCTCCAAAAATAGAAAATATCAAATTTTCTGAGCGAAAATGCTTTTTGTTGTTACTTATGCAACAGTAACTCAAATGTATGAAAGCCCGTTTCCGCCACTGAAAAAAAAGTATCCATAACTCGAAATTTTGAGGGTTTTTTTTTTTAATTTAGAGAAAAGTAACACAAAATTTCAAGTTAGCGCTGCCAATCAGTAATCTACGTGAATTACTTCCTTATTATTTATTATTTCCTTTTTACCTGTAAGCTGAAGCCCTCAGCTCCAAATACTACAGCTAAACTACCAGTATTACAGCCAGTCATGATGCACAAATTGCTGAGTATTTTCAGCGTAGCTTCACAAATGATGAATCCTTGTGTTGTTAGCTGAATCACATGGCGTTACTATGGCAAACATACTCTCGAAAGCGCCAGTTTGTTGCGTATCCCTCTGTGGAATATCCTTCTGGGCAACAAGAATATGACGTAATTCACGTAGATTACTGATTGGCAGCGCTAACTTGAAATTTCGAGAAAAGTAAGTCACAATTTTAAGTTACTTTTCTCAAAATTTCAAGTTAATAACTTGAAATTTTGAGTTACGGATACTTTTTTTGTGTGTGGCGGAAACGGGCTTCCATACAAATGACCACTTGTTACACTCAAGGTATGCAGAAGAGCATCTCTGAGAGTACAACAGAGCAGCAGCAGAAGACCACACTGGATACCAAAACAGGTCAATAAAAGGCTGAAAAAAATGTTGTCTGGTCTGATGAGTCTCGGTGTAAAGAGCATAAAAGCTTAGATTGGATTATTTCTTATTACTACTTATTAGTAGCACTAATAATAACGATAATGTCTATCCATATATTCTTCAACATGCAGCGAATGCACCACCAAGAAAAAAATGTCAAGCATAAAATAAAAATTCTGCTGAGTTATTTTTCAATATCCAAATATTTTAAATACACAAAAAATACAACATAATCCAATTTTTGTTAAGCCATATGGCTTTAGGTTTTAATGTATATCATTTCAAAACGTTCTGAATTCTAGTTTGCAAAGTGAGAAAAGGTAAGACACAGACAATTCAGTTCAGTGGCCTGCACAGCAGACAAAATGGAGCTTGCACAATGACAACCACAACATGCAGGAACAACATAAATGCCACAATATGAGTAAGGTCAACCCTGCTACGTCAATGATGAACTTTTTCCCACAATGGTATGTTTCATGCTCCAACGGCCCTCA